CTTCTTCGTTGTCGCCCAACTCGACGGGATCGCTGCCACCCTCCCGAAGCAGCGTGTTCACGAGCGCGGAGAGCGCATCTGTCTCGTCGTACATATATGTGTGTAGTGGGCAGCCCGCGAGCTGTGCTCACACGTAACTCCATCCTGCACTCATCCCTGCACCTCGCTCGCTGGAAAAGAATTTTACAAAACTTCGTCGCACAACACTGGGCACGCACACGCACACGCACACACACACACACACACACACACACACACACACACATATGCATGCATGCACAGACACACAGCCCCTTCCCCTCCCCCCTCAAGGGCGAGGACACGCACAGGCCGCACCTCTAGTGAGGCCCGCATAGTATGTGGGAGACTCGTGCCGCCGCCCCTGCCACCCCTGTGTCAGTGTGCCTGTGGTAGCGAGAGACTGCCAGCGACAAGCTGGAGGCAGGTCGCTAGACTGAGATGAGACCGCCAGTGGATGTGGGAGTCCACCGCGCACCGCGCTGCGAGCCTGTCGTGTCCCTTGTCAGGAGCAGGAGAGCCCCACCTGTCCCCCTGATCGTCCTTCCAAAATCCTGCTCGTGCAGGTGGGGACCTTGTCCTCGTCCCATCCCTCGTTTGGCGTGTCTGTTTTCTTTCTTTCTTTTTGGGCACGGGACTGGCGCGCACTGGCACTAACACAGGTACACCACGGAAAAGAATGTATGTTGTCACTTGTAGTGAGCGTCGGGCTGGTGGTGACATATATGACACACACACACACACACACACACACACACACACACACACTCCATCAAGATATTGGACTTGCAAGATATTGTGGCTGAAAGTCCAAGATACCTGCGCCTCTCCGCCCCCCTCCCTCCCTCGCACGTGCCCGCGCACACACGCCCTCCCTCTCGACCAAGCTGCTCTCTGCCGCTGGCGAATCGCACCCGTCGGTGCCTCGTACGCCGATCCCAGCGCCCTGGGCGGCGACGGTGGGGCGGCAGGCGGCGGCGGTGAGGGGGCGGCGCGGCGGTGACAGTGTGGCTCGCTGTCACGCTGACGACACGCTCGGACCGGAGAGGGAGAGAGGGGGGGAGAGAGAGAGGGAGTGAGGGCGAGAGGGAGAAAGAGAGGGAGAGAGAGTTGGGCTCAACCCGGTTTGCCTCTCGCACCCCGTCTGTTTTCCTTTCCTTTTTTCTCTACAACACCCTCTCTTTTCCTCTCTATTTTCCCGGGAAAACTGCGTGGAAATCGTCAAATTTTTGGCTCTGAGCCGAGTCTGAGGCTGGTTTGGGCCCCAAATCAGCCAAATTTTAGGCCAAATCGGCAAAATGCCGGGAATTTCGCGGAGAGCCCGTGTATACCTGGAAATTGCCCTGCGACCGCCTGGGTATTTTGTCGATTTCCTCAATTTTGCCTCACTCAGATTTTGCCCCAGACCAGCTCTCAGACTCAGGGAAACTCGCGAGTTTCCAGAATGGAGCACCAAACACCCTCTGTTTCCCCTGGAAATTTCCGGAAACGCAAAGACCAAAGTGCTGGGGACCCTCTGTTTTCCTTTTTGTTTTCCGGAAAACTGGGTTGAGCCCAAAGAGAGAGAGGGTTTGGAATCTCCGACTCCCGGGTGAAGACACAGCCTGATTCACAGCCCGTTCCAGGACTCACGTGCCTCCAACAACCGACAGCCGGGATGAGGGCATTCACACAACTTTACGCCCGGGGGCGCGAAGCACGAGGGACCCCCCCCCCGGGGGCCGGCTGATTACCCCCCCCCCCCC